TAGTATACATAAATATTTATATATAAATAATATTTTAAATTTATAATAGATAATTTTTATTATAATAAAAATAATTATTTTTATTTCTTAATATTTTATTTTAAAATAATAATATTTAATTTATAAATAATTATGATAGATAAAAATTAAATTAAATAAAAAGTTAAAAAAAAAATCATTAGAAATTCTATCATAAAAAAAAGTCTCTGAAAACATTCTTGCACAAGATAAAGGTTGGTGTTTAATATATATATATATATATATAAGTTGATAATTATGATATATATATATATATATATATATAATTTTTTTAAGAGATAAAATTTATTTCAATAATTTAATATCTTGATAAAATTGTTTTTTACTTGGATGGGAAATTATCATTCACACACAAAAGAAAAATTATATCAAATAAAATTATTTTTAAATAAGTAAAATAGTTATATTTTTTATATTAGGAATTGATTTCAGTTAGAAACTTATGAAATAATTAAGGACATAATATATTTTTTTCAATTAAATCATGTTGATTTATTATAATTTAAAAGAAAAATACTAATCAATCATTCTAATTTTTTTTAGTACTATAAACTTTTATTTTATCTTAATCAATTCTTAACTTTTATCTGATTTGTAAATAGATATTATGAATTTTATTTTTATTTTAATTAATCTTTAAATTTTATTTATTTTACAAATAAACACCCTTAACTTGAATTTAATTTTAATTAATTTTGATAATTCATTATTTTTACAAAGTTTTTATATTATTAATTTAGAATTAAATTATTTATTTTAAATATTATTTATTTACTAATATTTTTTTGTTGCAATTATTTTTTCCAAAGTATAATAAAAATACGAGTTTAGAAAAAATTTGATAAAACTAATAAAAAGAATTTTTTGTATAATTTTTTTCTTCTTCTAAATTATATGATATTTTAATATATATGAAAATAAAATTAATATAAATGTAAAAAAAATAATAAATAAGTGTGATTTAAAATAAATAAATGATTAATATTATTTTATATTAATAATTTAATCTCAATGTAATATAATAAATTTGCAAAAAAATAATTAAGATAGGATTACGATCAAAGTGTTTTATTTATAAAAATGATAAAGTTTAAGTATAAATTATAATAAAAAATTAAAATTCATGAAATTTATTTACTAACAAAACAAAATTTAAGGATAAATTAGAATAAATTAAAAATTTGTAGTGTCTATTTTATAAAAGAGATAAAATTTAAGAGATCTAAATACCTTTTTTTTCTAATTTAAATAACACCACTTTTATTTTTAAAATATTATTTCAAATTTAAATTTATTATTTAATATTTATTCCTTTAAAAGTAATTTCTCCTATAGTATAAATTAGAAATAAAGATAGAAACATTCCTTCTCCTCAAAATTTCACATTTTTTATACTCTCTTTTGCTTTAACATAAAAAAAAATATATTTTATACATTATTGCTATGATTAAGTAAAATATAACCCATTCATAAAAAAAAAGTAAAATATTTGTGTTACAACCATCTTTAACTGTCATTATTTTATCTCTGTTTATATATTTATTTATTAATTAATTTTGTTTCTCTTTCAAAACTTAAAACTTTAAAGGATAAATTTATCTTAAAAACATTTATCTACACTGTATAATTAGATGACTTTTTAAAAGTATGATAAATTAACTAAGTCCATGTACATGTAATTTAAATATTTTGATGACCTTTTAAAAATAGAAAAAAAATTAACTAAGTCTACATACATTTAATTGTTCTTATGAATGATCACAGAATCATGATAGATAGAGAGTATCCATGGCAAGTTGGCAAGTTGCGAAAGAAAAAAAATATATATATATAAAAAAAAAAGGAACACAACACAACACAAACAACGCAACGATGCGTTTAAAGTCGATAAGAAGAAGTAATCGGTAATAGGACAGGACCGTACGAGAATGTGAGTTGGATTCATTGGTTTGCTTCTTCCGTTGGTTCCTCAGCCTCAATCTCAGGGTTTTCACTTTCCACTCACATGGAAGATTCGGTACTTGTTTCCGATTTCATCTTCTTTCACTTTTGTCTCCATTTCATTAACTGTTGCCACAACTCAAGATCCCATGCCTCTTCCATGTTTTACTCACGTGCTTTTCACTCCTTCAAACTGTTTTGTCATTGCAGGTGTAGAAATCTTGCTTCCCAGTAATGGAAATGGAGCCTATTGTAAGTTTCTTTCCCCTTCTCTTTTATACCATCATCAAATTTCACCGCTATTAATATGACTTTATGAAGCTTTAAAATTAAATAAATTAAAAATTAGGTTTTTAGGTACTCTTCTTTCATATATTGGCTGCCTAGCTATATTAATGTTTGTAAATTGGAGTCCCTCCATCATCAACATTAACAATATTCAAGGTTTTAAATAGCAGTCGCAATTGTGATCTTTGAGATTGTGGGAAATAATGGACAAGTGTGTCCAATGCAGCCTCAATTGCGGTTTTGGACACCTTAAAAACCTTGATAATAGTCGATGACTGAGTTCATCTCTCCCAGATTTCAATTATTACCTCCTAAATGTATGATGTCAGAATCTCCATTATCTGTTATTAGTAACATTAGTAATTACATTTTCCTTTTTCATCCAGGATAAAGAAGAAAATATTGCTTGTGTGATTGGTGATAGATCAAGTAGTGACGTTGTTGTGAGGTTACGGACTCAGGAAGGTCGAGATGACTGGCTATATTGTCATTCTGAGATTCTTGTAAAGAACTGCAAGTATTTTGCTGACAGGTTATCTGAGAACTGGCCAACTTGTCAGATTCTTGATTCGCGCAACTGTGTTGATGTCTATTGTCAGGAATCGAATTTCGATTACCATGTAAATCTTATTCGCCTTCTATACATTGTCATAGATGATTCAGTTGATGATTTGTGGCATGGTGTTAGAAATGCCTTAGGCATTCTCCAGGTTGCGGTTGAGCTTGGATGCCCACAGATTATTACTGCTTGTGTGAACTACTTAGAAGCGGTCACATGGGAAGAGGCTGAGGAGGAAGAGATATTGAAAATTGTACCTCGAATGGGATTACCAGCCGAGCCTATCCTAGCTAGACTTCAACCAGTTAACCAGTCTGCTATCATAAACATCTTTGTCTCTGCCATCCGCTTTGCTACATCATCTCCACCCCAACAAATGAATGATCTTAAATCATCGGCACAAGAGCAACTTGAGTACATGCTAACTGAAGATGATGATGCCCCTTTATTGACAGCTGATGACAACATAAAACATGAGGTAAAAGAATGTGTAAACAGACTATTTTCACGGTTTAACGACTCATTAATAGCTTTATACTGTGGTTCCACCACTGAATCACTCTTTGAGGCTGGAAATATTATGTTGTTTCAATCCTATTTGGCTGATTTGTCATGGGTTTGTCAAATACTAACTAAGTTGGAAATAATGAGAGAATTTGTTGAATATTGGTTTGATGCATCAGAAAAGATTGTCAAGGTTCTTGAACAAGGAAATTCTACAACTGAAGTCCTTGAGATAAAGTTACGGGCTATTGAGGTGACATCAAAGGTTTTAGAGGCAATTGGGTATGGTACTGTTGTATTGCCAACTGCAAAACGCCTTAAGGTTTTGAAAGTGTGGCTTCCATTTGTGAGGGTTACAAAACCATTGATTGATTCTGTCACAATGGATTGTGTAAATGCCATGCTGCTTAAAATAGATGGCGAATTGTGGCAATCCTTAGAATCCACTTTTGTCTCTATCATTCTTGCATTGCCATCGGGAGATCAGGCAGATGTTTTAACTGAGTGGCTGGATAACGAGTATATGCAGTATCCAGACTTAACTGAGGCATTTGAAGTATGGTGTTATAGGTCCAAAGTTGCCAAGAGGAGACTATCATTGCCTGGGGATGAACATGTCATGACGATGAACATGTCATGATCAATTCATTTTGATGCTTTCACAAATTATGTTTCTTTATATTAGATTACTAATCCATCTTGTCAAGGCATTGGGAAGAGATCATCTCTTTTTTGCACCTGAATGAAAAATTTTGTAGGAGGCATTTAAAATCTCCATGTCCCATCAATCAAATGTAAATTATGCTGAGAAGTTTGTAAAATGTTGTAGTTTCCAACTGTGAACTGTAAAGGATGTATTTTGAAATAACTGATTTCATAGGATGCAAAATCATATTATATTAATTGACAATGATTTTGTCAGGACATTTCTAATTACATGGAGATGTAGCTCTAGATGGTTCGTACAGTTTGGTTTGTTAACATAGGAATCAATGAAGGAAAAGATAAAATGGAAATTGAGAGCAGTTTGAGTGAGGATAGAATTCGAGTAACCTGCAAAACAATTTCATTTCCCAAATCCTGTCGATAGACATTCATTCACGCACAAATACTCATAAGGGTTGTAATGGAAAATAAATTAGTAATTAAGACTCGTTATGAAGAGAACAATTATGTTATTGATAGTAGGTTGCCTTTTAACCCAGTTCAATGTAATAAGTTGATTGGTCTCCAATTATGTGGGTCATAGCCCCTCAAGTGTCAAGCTTAAGAGGCGAAGGCAGTCAAAATATATAGGCTTGAACTCGGTCATATGGGTCATATCTCGCCGAGCCTAAAAGGCGAAGGTGATCTTGATCTCGGTTGATAATAATTTGTGAAAACTAGCATGGGTTACTTTGACATGGAAGCAGTATATATAATTGATTATTTGATTTCTTCACACTCTTCATCACTGTTGCTAATGAACATCACGTCCATATTGTTTGATCGACAACATCCAACTCCTACGGTCCATGTCATTGCACCAAGTCCTTTATCTGGATAATAATTTTATATCTACACACAAACTTACAACATGCGTTTATTGTGTCTTTTAGGATCTTGTCACGAGGAAGACAATTGGACTTGGCAAAGAGCAATGGGTTATATTTTTTGCAACAGATGAAGTGTATGTTTGTTATCAAATTTTTAACACAATTTCTTTTTTCTTTTTCTCCACGTCCAAATGTTTGATTTACATGAAAACTAGTATTTATTGCTTGAACATGAAAAATTACATCATATATGTGAATGCAAATACACTAAAAGACTTATGGTGGTACAACAAGATGTTGTCTTCTAATCAATAAGCAAACTCCAAGACTTGAGCATCTTCTCAAATCTAGCTTTACCACAAGTATTTTGGATATCCACCCTTCCTTTAGTACGCCTAACTCTTTATTTCTTATTGTTTTTATAAGAGTTAGTAGTCTTTTCGCTATGATTTTTGTCAATTTTCAAAACAACATCGTCCAACATTTCCTCTAAGTATTAATAAGTCTTGCATTTTTCGATCTTGTTAATAGTTATGTGGAGGGGCTAGTTATTGTCTATCTAGGATTAAGTGATTGGTGACATCAATGATTATTCTCACTCACGAAATAAATACATATCTTATGAAAATTAAATTTGAAGTTTGTGAAATATTTGTTGATTTCTTTTATCTTGTTAAAATCAATTTGAAAGGTCTATTAAGAGATTTTGGTCTAACAATAGTACATAATGTGTCAATATAATATTTTTCAAGTTTCTTATAGATAATGACATTATTCATGAGCTAACATGTCTAAAGACTCCAACAAAATGGTGATACAAAAAGAAAGAATTATCATCTCCTTAAAGTTGTTAGAGCTTTTCTTTTTCAATTGTTGGATCTTAACATCTACTAAGGAGAAGTTGTTTTGATTGTCACATATCTAATTAACAAGTTGCCTATTCATGTTTTACATGATATTAATTCATCATAGTTTTTCCCTTTTCTTCTCTTATGTCAAGCCTTCAATTAATGTGTCTTTGGGTGTGCTACTTTTGCTAATTCTCATAGTCAACATTGTGGTAAGTTAGATCCAAAAGTTGTCAAGTATTTTTTTTATTGGTTGTCCCTCAAATAAAAAAGGGGTACAATTGGTATCACTCTTAGAGCCATCGTTTCTATCTTTATGGATGTCATCTTTTATGAAATTAGTCATTTTATGTCTGTTATTAATTTTAGAAGAATATTAGTATAGAAATTGAGTTTGTTGTCGAGTCATTACTTTTTTCTCACTTTATAGGATGTTTAAGAGGACACTTGAAAATAAATTGCCACTTAAGAAGCCAACCATATGAAGTAGGTGAGAAAAATCAATTATATGGTAATAAGTATTAGATGCAAGAGAAACCTTTATCTTATTTCACAATAAGCTCGACCATCTAAGTCGAAGGTAAATATTCTATTTCTTAATTTGTTTGTACTAGACATCTCATTACACAACATGAGAGTTTTATTGTTATCATTGATGCAATCATACCTAGCTCAATTTAAGAAGTTTTGAAAGGTGAAAATTGGGTTCAAGCCATAAATTAAAAGATGAGAGAATTGAAGAAAAAAAAACATAACTAGAATATCATTAACAAACAAGAAGGAAGTATGATGTAGGTGAATATAACTATGAAGTATAAGTCTAATGTAACCCTAGATCAATTAAAGGAAAGATTAGTTGCAAATGAGATACATGATAAATTCATATTTAATGAATCTATGTGCATGATTTTAATGAAAAATAAGACAAAAAAAAAAATCCAAGAGTCTATAAAATGATATTTTTAGTTGACTTGTAAAATGAATATACTTTTGATGAATTTATTTATTTATTTATTTAGTGACAAAAATAAAGTAAAACACATGCAGAAGGGAGTACGATGTCTATAATGTTAAAGTAATGTCCTACGCCACTATTAAGAAAAATAATTATTACTTAAAAGTTTAATTTAGATGCAAGCTCACATACTAAAATTATTGGGATTTTCTAATGTCTCATCATGTGAGGCATTATTAAATAAGAGAGACACCAAGACATAATTTAATAGTTACAAAATTGTCTTAATTGTGTCCATTTAAATATATGGAGCAAAATTTCCAATATTTTGTAATTTGGGGGATAAAAATTGCGGGGAAAAATTCAAAGAAGTTCTTTAAAAGCAAAATTTACAAAATTGTATAACTTTGTCAATAAAAGGTGCAATTAAATTATAAATGTATTAATAAAAAAAAGGCTCTAATGTACTGTACTGGTGTAATTTACTAGAGAGAGAGAGTTGATTGAGATGGTATGGTACATAAAGTTTGGTCAAAACCAATTTATGTGTATTCAATGCGTGTTCGAACCGTGTAGCCATCCTGTACCAATTTCGGACAATCATCATATGAGTGTCTTGTGCATGTTTGATTTAAATTGTCATGCCAACTATCAGTTATGGGTTTTAGAACCAGAAAAGTAGAAAAATTTTGGCAACAACTTGAACCTACGAATTATCATGCCATGGGCCAAAAACTGCAATATTAATCAAAAGAATATCGCTTGATTTACACAGCTTTTCCTAACATATTTACGACAATTTAACCGATGCATAGAAGCTAAAATAATCTATCAGTTCAACTTGTTTAACAGAGTTACCATCAGTTATATTTATTTGAAAAAATATTACACAATTGTAAAATCTTATTTTCGTGGTACCATAGAGTATTGATTCTTGTTTAGCAATCTATATACAGAGTTAGTTCAAATTAAACAAACCTTTTTTTATCTGACTGAATGATTATAATTCGCCTCCGAACTTGTTAAAAAGTTTTCAAATAAATAAATCAATCTCTAAAAGATATAATGTTAATCGACATTTAAGGTCTTTGAACAATTTCAATTACTAATTCAGGAGTTTAAGTAAACTAGTTTCCCACCCGGTACGTGTGAAGAATGGCAGTTCCTATCAAGGAAAAACGATTCAAGAGGTATGTAGATTATTTTTTGGCTTCAAATATGCAATCATAGAAGAATGACCATCACACTTAAAAAAATTAAATCGTAATTGGTTCTGGTCTCTGCAGTGGAGGATATGTAAAACACCACAACATATATTTTCAATCGAAGATATATTGGTATCTTTTACCAAATTAAAATTTATGACAACAATCCATCTATCCCACCTTCAGAACTTACAAAAATAATATACAACCTCAACCATATACTTTCAAATCCTAAGCTATCTAAGAACTCAAATGGTTCTATGCAGGGTATAAACCTATACTAAAGTAAAATTCCTTCTTTCTTTACACTACAATTTTTCATCACTCCCCACATAAGCAGGGGACTATGAAGAAATTGTGAGCGACTCAGAAACAACGAGCACTAGCAGTGTGCTACCACATTGCTCACCTTAGTTTCAATGTCTTATTTAGGTAACAAAGTCTGGCAACAATTGTGCAGCAAACCTCTTTGGGTTTTGCATGCTGATACTCTCATAAGCAGCTGTAGAGTGAGGAGAGGAAGTGTTTATGGCACCAAACTCATGTGGTTCACCAATGTCCAAGCTTCTTCCTAGTTGAATGTTTTGGTTTGGGAGAAACGTTTGATGTGTTCCTGGTAATGAGTCAAGACCAAGAGTGAGGGAAACACCATTACCTGTAAACCTTGGTGTTGGTGTAAACTGCTCTGCATCAAACCTTCCAATATCACCAATTGGATACTGTCCAAAGCCACCAATGAAGTTTGTTTGGTTTCCCATGAAGGAGGACCCGTTTCTGCCTTGCCTTTCATCTCCAAATTTCATTGAGAGTTGCTCATTGCTTCCCTCATTGGGCTTCACATCCATGTTAATTGAAGGGACACTATTTGGGGAATGCATCATCTCATGGTTCCTTGCTTTCTTGGGACTTCCTTGTGCGATCCCTTCTAGCTCTGATGACCCCATGAAGCTGAATCCTGATTGGTTTCTCACATTCCCACCAATCGGGGATGTCGGTGGTCTAGAAACTGAAACCATAGCAGTGTTCTGGCTCTTAGAAACCTCTTGTTTGGGATTGAAACTTATAGCCTCGGTTTCATTGGAAGGACCTTTCTCTTGTGGAGCTCCCATTTTCATACCAGAATCTTCATTGCTCTTGCTTGATTTGTCCTCAGAACCATTCTGTTCATGCTCCTTCATCTCCTCCAAGTACATTTCCTCCACCATTGGCTTCCAAAGCCGAACTCGAGCATTAATAAACCAATTCGAAACCTGTTAAGCCAAAGTTTATTTAGAAGAAGAACAATACATCAAATGAAAAAGTAAATTACGATCAGTCTAATTACCTGGCTCCTAGTTAGCCCCGTTTGTTTTGCGAGCATGTGCTTGTCCGAATCCTTGGGATATCTGGAACCAAACTCAGTTATTTCAGCACAATGTGCATAATCTTTGAAGCAATTAATAGTCAACATTAAAAATGTGTTTAAAGGAATGTTGTAAGCCTTGTAATCTCTTAACATGAGTATAGAATAAGAGGATAAAATGAAAAAATACAACTATAATAATGGATCACAAGCAAATCACACAAATTTGACACCACATCATGTTCATGGGTCTTTCTCACTTATATATATATATATATATGGTAATCAAGTTAGAGAGCTCCTCGAGCAATCACACTAGACGTCTTTCATTCCACATCGAGCATGACTAGGTCAGAAAGCTCATAACTAACTTCATATGGCACTACCAATCTCGTGTCTGATGTTAGTAAGGCAGAGAGTCCCTGACTTGCATCATGCTCGATGTCATGGAGTTGTTTCCGACGTGATAGTAATATTTGTGCTTGGAAGAATCACAAATTTGCTCAAAACCTACAAATTTCTCAACAAAACCAGCATGCAATCTCAATTCCAACCTATATATATATATATATATGCAACTCGACATACTCATTGAACACCAACAATTTAAGTGTGCTTACGGGTGGAGGAAGTGTTCGAAGAGCCAAGCACGAAGAACAGAAACGGATCTTTCAGGCAATCCTCTCTGGGGTCTCCAAGCGTTGTGCTGGATCATTCCCAATTGTTGGAGAGCTCTCTGTTGCCGAAGATGATGGTCCACATATTTGAGCCTAGAACCTTCTATTTTGCCTCCAAAGCAGTCATCTTCTCCTAAGCTCTTATTAGCAGCACGAACCTGCCCTGCAATCGCATCTTTCAAACACCGAAACTGCTTCGAGATTGTTTGCAATGCAAGAGCAGTGTATGTCCTCGCAGAACCAATCCCCGCAGCTTGCTCAAACGAAGACACCACAATCTCCATCTGTTGGTGGTACTGCCTGTACCTTTGCTCCACCTTCATCCAAAGAAAACCACATCAGTAAACTATCCATTAATTCAACTATCACAAATATTTCACTAATTAATTCCAAGCAACCACATCCATGCAATTTAAGACCATTAGTCCTTCATAATCTTGAAAATTTTCCATTTAATAATCATTAGATTACATTCTTTTTAGTCTGGCACAAGTATTTTCCTTTGAAAACAATCCTATTCATGACACGATTAAGTATTAAATATAAACACTTCTCCATATAGAAAAACACTATCAATACTAGATGTAGACACTTCTTCCTTTGCTTTGCCATTATATTGGCTGAATCTATGATATGATTTCCACCCCATGTTGTTGCCATACCAATACTAAAGCCAAAAACACTAAACCCGTTGAGAAGAAAGAAATCACATTTGGAATTTATAAGTCATTACATGTAGAAAACCTGATGAGATTTGGAACCATACACGCAAGTGAACATCACATGAATCACTAGGGTAGTCTAGTGGTAAAAATCGGATAGCATGAACAACGTCTTAGATTCCAAACTTGTTATCGTTGTAAATAAAAAAAAGTGGAAAGCACACACCTCATCAAGCATGCCGATTAACTTAGCTTTCTTCATCTGAATTTCTTGTCTTTCTGCAGTTGATAACTCAGAACTACGCTTGCCATTTCCATCCCCAGCAACTGAACCATCTCCACTACCAGCTGCGGATGATTCTCCCATCACCTTGGTCTTTTTTCCCAACTCAGAGCCAATCCCAATGTTAACATTCACAACCTCTTCTAGAAGCTCATGCGCTGCCTTCAAGTACTTCGAGCTCAAAAGCACACTCTGAATGCCGGAAGCACCGTTGTTGGTAACCCCAGAAGCCGAAGACGGCGACCCGCCGGACACGCGCAGGTCGTCGCCGGACATGGCCGGCGCCTGACCCTCCCGGAACGGCCCCAGCCCCAAGGAAAGCCCCTGTTGCGCGCGTGACGTATCACGCGCCGCCGAGGCGGGGTCAAGCGCGTTCCAGTGATTGTACTGCATGCGAGGCATGAAGCCATGCATGGGCGAGACGTCGTGGTGCGCGTGCATGGAGTGGTTGTTGAGGTCTTGGGAAGCGGGGAGAGGGATTCCAACGAATTGTTGGGTCTGAGAGGGCGGCGCGTGAGGGCTGAAGGAGTTGTTGTTGTTGCCGGCGACGGCGGCGGGGTTGAGAAACACGAGGTTTCCCGCGGCGTGTGAGGGTTGCGGCTGCGACGGCGTGTCGGAGTAGTGGATGTAGCCGGGGTTCATGAGGACGAGTGTTTGGAGTCCGTCGGCGGCACTTGATTGGATTTCGGAGTTACCATGAAAGTATGTCGCCATCGGTTTGGGGTAAAATAGGTTGTTACTTCACTGAAAAGAGAGCACTACTACTACGTTAGTTACAATAGCCTTTCAAACTTCACATGTCACAACCCTTTGTCCCAACATAAACCAAAACACACATGTAGTTGTATTCGTGTCGTACCTGCGATGAATCTTGCAACGATTTGTGGATCAACCCATCAACGCAACTCCCAATAATTGATGCTCGTTAGGTAGGCTCTCTCTCAAAAGAACCCTGAGGAAACAAACAGTGAAGTGGAAAAACCGATGAAAAACCTGAATAATGCTTGAAATCATGTTTCACTTGTTAAGTTACATCTGAATTTGGTTCGGCTTTGTGCATGGTTTTGTCATTTGTGTTGTCGAGAAAAACTTGAAAGAGGAGAGATATAAGTTGTGTGAGGCTTTTATAAAGAAGAGAAGATAAGATAATTCATTATTTATATATGTGTGTGTATTAGTTTATGAAATGAAATGATATGGTAGCTAAGCTAACAGCTATAGTATATACCTGGTGTGAGGGAAATTGGGAGGCGCACGTGCTTCATGATCGTTTCCTGAACTGCAAGGGAAAGAAGAAATTGATTTACAATGGAAAGAGAGAGGGACATGATTTACAAGCAAGCACACGAACAGTTAGTCTCACCCACCAAAGCAATACAGTTATGGCTAATAGATGAAAGAAGAAAGAAATTGATGCATCAAATTAACGCACCTGTCAACGTGCATATGTGATGTATCTATGTTTGGGATTTCATCGGTCGCTTCACTTACAAAGAGGAAAGCTCTCTGTCAGACTCAAATCCGCTGCAATTCCACTCCAACTGAAAAGGGTAAAAAAGGAGTTGAGGAAAAAAGACTCCGGAAAAAGATGCCCATCTTTGTTCACCTCATTATCCACACATTTATCATCATTTTCTTTTTAAAAAATTGGTTTTTTTAATATATGAAATTCTGGGTTGGGGGAATTTGTGAGAACAATGAAGTTAACATGCCTCAGTGGCTATCTTTCTTTTTTTTTTTTTTTTTTTTTTAAAAAA